TCCCCTTTAATAATATAGTCAGGGAGCTAAATAATTTCGTTATTCAATAATCATTTCTGATTATATAAAAACCATAATACAATAAAATAACTATGTAATACAAATAATAAATATTTCGTTTATATAGGTGACTGGGAAAGTATGGATTCAAATAACAATCGCTTCAAAAACACTTCGCTAACTTCTGAAAAGGTCTTTCAGAATCGAATGAATTGGAACGCTAAATGATTGAATGAATATTTCATGAAACTTATAAGGTAACGTCAAGAATCGAAACATTTTCCATTTCGCCATTTCTGTGTCGCAGAAGTTCACGACAAAGTTCAAAAGTCACGACATCATTCGGTGCCCTTTCATTCGGTGCTCCATTGAATTTTTCCTTTAATTTTCATGAAATTGAGAGCAGGAGCAATTTCGAACTGTATAATAATAATTCTCCCGGAGAAGAAAAAAATCGAGGGTTTCAATATGATAATCTACTGAAATTATTCATGAAGATAGGAATAATCTCAGGTTTGCTGATTTTGAGGTTTTTGGTAGAAATCGAACGTCTTTGATTCAATGAATAATAATTTTACCCCTAAAATGTGGATGTTGGAACAAAATGTTTTCAATGATCATTCAATGACGGGGAGCTGTTATTAAATTTTGATCTTGAAAAATATGCAAATAAGTTTTTTTCGAATTCTTACGTTCTGTAGAATTCCAAAATTCAAATAGAAATTTCATCAATAAAAATTTGAAATGACAATGAACCTTTTGCGGATTATAAGCAAAATGGTTATTGATTATTTTGATGAAATTATGGCAATTTTCTGGGATGATAACTTTTGAAATAGAAATAACATTCAAATCTGAATGAAAAATATGATGGATACGAAATCCATAATTTCCACAATGATTCAGAAAATGCTTGCAAACACCAGAACTGTACCCCTCTTTTGTACGAATGCTTCACCAACCAAGTTGAAGTCATCAGGAGTTGAAGTGAAATGACAATATCAGATTACTTTTTTTGAATACATCGAAGAACCTTTGGTTTCTGTTTTGAAAATAAATAACACCATCATAATGATGTTTATATTGGGGTGATGAGTCCCAACTTAATTCAAAATAAACCTGAAATATATTTTCTTTTCGGAAAGTATGCACCAAATATAATGAAAATTTTTAATATGGTTAACAATGGTATAATAATATCATGATAAAATATGCATAAAAAAGAAGAAAAATATTACTACACACATGCCACTACTAACTATTACATAGCAAATGTTCAATTACCTACACCGAATACATTCATATAAAATAGTTGCCAAAAATTATTGCAAGTTGAAAAAAGGGGATGGCATGTACTTGATCAAAGTTTGGGTATATTGAAACGTGTAATGAAGTGTCTGTCCACAGCATGAAATATTATTAAAGAAATCCAATAAAATGGGAATCTGAAACATATAATTCAATGATTAAGTTTTAATTATTTTTATTTTCGATTCCTCGAATTTTGATTTTCATTATGAACATCAATAATAATAATAATCAATGTCACTAATACCTTTGATCAACAAATATTTGTTAAATTTTTGAAATAACCCCAATGGAAAGATTATCTATGACAGATGGTCACATATAAGATGTGTTTGTGATACAATGTTCAATGCAATAGTTGAACATAATAATAATAATAATATCGTTTATTATAAATAAAAATACATCAAATAGTTGCTAATAACTCTTAATATTCTTAACATTATTTTGGTCAATTTAACAATTTCATTGCACTGCCATACATTGAATTTTAAATTTTGCAAATTAGCACTGAGCAGTAAGCATCTGTGATTTTATTTCTCTTAAATTGATGAATACTATGATTTAAAAGGGGTAAAATTTCATTCAGATGGGAAGGGGCTATATAAGAAAAACATTCTTGAAATTTCGAAGTACGGTGCCTAGGTATGTTGAATGAGTTAACTCTCAAATTGACCATATGTATGTCAGAATGCCTGCTCAATAAACTATATAAATAACTAGGTGTTTTAGTTTGAAGCAACTCAAACAAAAACATTTTTATCAAATATTGGACTCTGTACCTCACATTCAGCTTCTTCATTTTTAACAAAAATGGGGTGACATGTTTACCATATGGTATACAGCATACGAATCGCATGCAAGCATTTTGTATACGTTGTAACTGTAACTGTTTGTTATATTGCGGCAAAAAATTGTGATACACCGAACAACAATCCTCGATATGGGGGTAAATAAGATTTTTAACTAACCTGAGTTTGAAAAATGATACTTTGAAAATGTTTTGTCACATGTTCATGGAAAGAGAAAGAGCTATCTATGGTTACGCCAAGATTTTTAGCACTGTCTACCCAGTCAATGTCTGCGTTATCGAGAGTGAGCCTATAGCTACACTGAGTTTCTACTATTTGTCTTTGAGACCCTAAGCATAAGGCCAAAGTTTCATGATTCTCCGAGTAAAGGAATGTTTTGTGCAAATCTGTGTTTATATTGGCCACGCAACTTTCTGTATCGGTGTCATGAGAAGACAAATATAACTGTATATCATCTGCGTATAGATGTACTTGACAGTGTGATAAGAAAGTGAGGTAATCAAAAATAAACACTGAAAACATCAAGGGTCCTGAAATACTTCCCTGCGGTACACCTGAGATTGTTTCTTTTAGGGACGACCATGAGTAATCATCATGTGAGATAGCTGGTCATCCATTCAAGAGAAATATCATCGAATCCTAGGAACTTGAGCTTGCTGATGATGAGAAGTTATATACGGGGATGCTTCATGTTTTCTGTTTACAGTGCAAATTGGGCATGTTTGTCAAAAAGCATAATGATGCATTCTTTGAGAAAATTCACTTTTGAATTAATATCTTGCATAGTCACCCCATGGTAAATTAGCAGCATCTTGAAAAAAAAGTTCATGATTGAAATTCTTGAAATATCAATAAAAAATCAAGTTATCATAAGTATCTTCGCCATCTGTTTGAATTAGTAGGAAAATTGAAGATTGTATTTTCAACGTATTGAATGCATTACTAGAAATACATATTTTTCCCATAATTCTAAAAAATCATGAGATATACAATATACCTGTTAGGAATCACACGTTAAAAGTTTATTTTGGAATTATTTGCTTTCTTTCTTTCTTTGGAAGATTCCCACATTTTTTATAAAAAGGAGACGTAGTAAGCCAAAACACTTCTTTCTCAAATACATATGCTTTTATTTATTCATTTCTTATTTCAATATCTTGAAAATTGACAAAAATCCTAAAACTGACCTCAACTCATAATGTCAAGAGAATAACAAATAATTTCGAAATGACCATATGTTCAACCCATCATTCTTATAAATCTCTTTGAAATCAGAACCCCATGTGAATCGAACAAGTCATGCGAACATGCCTAGTAGTAAAAAAGATATTCACCCTGGGAGAAAACCGGCCTATCGTTTCTTTATTCATTCAGAATTGAAATGGTCTTTCATCACTCCAATCAATTCCTCCAATCCCATTGAAAATCTTCCGCTAACGTATTATATAACATTTTCGACCCTTCGAAATCCAAAATCTGATATTTTCCATCGCCTCATAATCTTCTAAGAAAGAACTCGAAATATA